TGTAATAATTTATTTTTAAATGTAAACATTCACTATTTTTTTATCATACCTCGTATCTCTTTGAATCAGTGTTGTTTTTTTTCTCTTGGATATATATCCAGAAGTGAAATTGCTGGGTCATAAGGTAGTTCTATTTTTAATTTTTCAAGGAACCTCCATACTGCTTTCCATAGTGTCTGCACCAATTTGCAATCCCACCAACAGTACACGAGGATTCCCTTTTCACCACATCCTTGCCAATACTTGTTTGTTGATTTATTGATGATAGCCATCCTGACAGGTATGAGGTGATACCTCATTGTGGTTTTTTTTGCATTTCCCTGATGATTAGTGATGGTGAGCATCTTTTCATGTTTGTTGGCCATTTGTATGTCCTCTTTGGAGAAATACCTGTTCAGGTTGTAGAGGAAATGCATTTGAAGATTCTAGTGAAGTGGATATCTTTCCAAAAAAAAAAAAATTCTCAGAATTGACTCAAGGATAGTAATCTTGGCTAGATATATGAATAGCTTAGAAGATTCTCAAGAAATAATCTTTCCCTTTCTCTCCAACCTAAACTGTAGGGCTAAGTGGTTTTATTGGCAAATTCTTTCAGTTTTTCAGGAACAAATAATATCCTGTGTGATGTTGTTTCTGAACACAGCAAAAGATGATGGGCAGTTTCCTTATTACATGACACCTGTAGAAGCCGACTGAAAGCCGTTATTAAAGCTTGGTAGAAATTCTGTATTTCATGGACTGTGAGATGCTCTAGTTTGCAAGGAGCACCACTGTGCTCCCGTTACCAGAGAAAGAATGCTGCCAGTTATAATCAAAGGATACCATGGATTGTGAAATGCTCTCCATGATGTTAGGTGTTAAATAGATGTTTATGGAAGAATTTGTGGCATGTGGTTGTACACCAACATCTCTTAGGAAAGTAGATGGGAAATTTTTAAGTCAGCTATGAACAAATAGTAAATTAAAAGAGGAAATCTGTGTGACCATGTAGGGTGAGTGG